CCCTAGTGTCTAACAGAATGTGAATTTCAAGTTGTAAAATAAATGGAAAGTGCTATTTTTGCAGGGTATATCCTTGACCCAAAAAATAGATTGATTATGTGATCAGCTTTAACTTCTTAAAAACAACTTAAAATCTAACTTTACCTAGAAATAGTTAAATACTTTGCATTCTATGGAATACAAAGCTCATTTGTAGCTTACTGTTTGCAATGAGTAAAATTAATATTGTATTATGTAATGTAATCTTCAAAAATTATGAAGGGCCTTAGAACTCCTCTCCCAACTAAAGAAACACAGTTTAAAGGGGATGGCTTAGTTCAAATTGCACTCTACTGTTAATGACAGGGATGGATTTACTGGGGGGTGGGGGTGCACCCCCCCCCCCTAGCCCTGACCAGAGGGGGTGCTATTTTTCATGATAAAGCAAAAAATTATTAGAGGCACATTAAGATACAGTAATTTGAGTAATAACATGATGATAAGCGAACTGTGAACAACAATTACAATTCAAATACAGTAGTCAAGCAAGATTTTGCAGTAGTGAAGCAGGTTGATGGGTGGGCAGCACACATGACGGACACAACTCGGCACCAGAGCTGGTAGAGCACCCCCCCCCCTACCAGATCATGCTGGATCCATCCCTGGTTAATGACAAACATGAGATTGATCATAAAGTTTGTCTCCACTATGTGTTCTTTTATGTCTTGCTGAAGTACTTGAATATCTGAATTCTTTACAGATATGATATATTCATATAAGGTTTTACTCTATTATGTGTTCTTTTATGTGACAATAACTAAATTGTTTGGTGTTGAATAATGTTTGTTACACATCTAAGCAAGCCTCTTATACAGGATGTGCTTGTTTGTATCATGATTTGTTGCAGTGTATGTTGTTTAAACAAATTTGCCCATGTTATGTCTCAATCAATTCCACGGGTGCCCAACACGGCAACACCCCCCCCCCCCCGGGCGTTTGTCGGGCTTTTGTCATTTTGGCGAAAAAACGTTGCAAATGCCCCAGTATGGGGTCCAAATAATGCAACTAAATCCCCACCCTTGGGGACTTATATTGACGCAAATGCCCCACCCTTGGGGGACAAAATATAAGTTTTCTGAGGATTTCTGATCCAAAAAATCGAATCCAAGCTCTATCACGTATCAATATATCTGTATTTAAAATCGATTCTATAGGCATTTCGTTTTAAAACGTTTTTAATTAAAATATTGAAGTTTCAAAACTTTATATAGCAATATCAAACTGCAGAAGTAAGTCAATGTATCAACAGGATGGACAAGAAAAAAGTCTTGTGTTATTCCGCCATGATTAATTTGCGATACGCACGCTGGTGTAAACATGCGTACTTAAGTACGGCTAAATGGCAAAACAAGCGATAAATATTCGACTTTTTAGCCTCGAGCAAATTCCCCACCCCGGGGCTAACCTGCAGAAAGCAAATGCCCGACCCTGGGAACAAGTACAGTTGAGAATGCCCGACATACACCCGGGGGGTGTTGGGCACCCATGGAATTGATTGAGACATTAATTGGTATGTTTGCCAGAATCATAATATTTTTTCACAATGTGAACATGGCATTCTTACATTCATAAGGTAATTGTGAGTGTGGTGGTCAAAATGGAAGCAATATTGTTCCACTATAATTTATATCAATTATATGATAAAATATCGTACGTCTGGCAGTTTAACTTTTTAAAACTGCTAATAATTGAACCTATTAGAATGCTGTCAATGCATTGTGACTACATTGGCATGTATTATCCTGCTTAAATAATATCATCTTCATCAAGCCAAGTAATTATTTAATCGTAGCTTGCCAACTTGAGTAAATTCTGTCATAAAATCTTTTTTCAGATAAAGAGTAAGATACCTGGCATTTCAGAATATAAGTTCTACCAACCAAAAAGAATAAAAAGATCAAAAAACAACAATAGAAATTATAGAATATAAACTCCATTTAAACTCCACTCCTTAGCTTGGCGCCATATTGAATTTCGCGGTCGCGCTGGTAAAAGCCTGGGGACTAGGTGCTCTACATTGAACTATAAATAAACTGGAAGGCTAACTGCTATGATGAAGGCCTATGATTTGATGAAGCCAAAATAGTTTTTCTGAGTTATGAGCAGAAATACTTGACCCCAAACGTCGGGCTATATATCAAATTGAAGCTATTGAAAATTGCTATTCGGTGTGGAAATTTCAAGACTTCAGCGAAAAGAAAAATCTTTAAAAAATACAAAAACAACTGCAAAACGGCAAATTATCGGTAATTATGTTTGTAGTTTTTCAATATTTCCCTTTTAGCTAAAGTCTTGAAATTTCTACACCAAATAGAGTTTTTCAATAGCTTCAATTTGATATATAGCCCAACGTTCAGTGTTGAGTATTTCTGCTCATAACTCAGAAAAACTAAAATGCACTGGCTTCAATTTCCCCCCCTGAGTTAGCCTTCCAGTTTATTTATAGTTCAATGGTGCTCTACCGTATCTGAAATAGCCTTCACCTTCTATGCTGGAGTCTACATAGTCTAGGCTTTTCCCTTTCAGGCGCGGATCCAGACCGTGGCAAAAGTGGCTCGAGCCACGGTCAGATTTTTCCCACCCAGGATTTTCCGGGGTTCACCTTTGTTGGATACGCATTTTTAAGAAGTATATATTAGTTATTTGAAATACAGCAAAATTGAGCAAATATAGGTCTATAGCAAACAATTTGAATAATATCTTTTGTAATTGTTCTCATATTACAGTAATATGTGCTAAAAGCAGGAAAAACTTCCGAAATATATTCCTTGTTCAATAGTATAATTATCCAGTTAAACACTGAACTATAAAAACCGCCGAAAGCGTGCCGAATTTTGCCGAATATATTCGGAAGCAGTCGTAAATTCGAAGCTGCGATCACAGCCACAAAATGCCACGGTCAGCGTGCAAAAAATTGCGCAATTGTTACTAAATATAGTAACTTTCTGCCACGGTGCAGCGTTGCAAACCAATCACAGGGCAAGTTGTGGTCATGTGCGCCACGGTCTGCCACGGTGGCTCTGTTTTGATTGCGCAATACAAATGATCAACAATAAAGTTCGATACTTGTCGACTTGACGGGAT